AATGCGTGTATAATTAGAGAAAACATACATCCAAAGCATTTAGGGTTGCATGTGCACCATAGGAGTGTTATAGTGCTCAAAACCCAATAGTGATATCAGAGCCTAGGATTGTTTTCTATTATATTTGATGCTTACTCGTTTTTCAAAGCTGAAAAAAGGTCAAAATTTTACATCTGACTGGTGAACTAGCCGAATACATAAACAGACTCGACGCGTCCACTCAGTAAACAGGGCAACTCGGCCAATCAGTTCATGCACTTGACGAGTTGAAGGCCCTGTTTGCAGAATTTCGAGTTTCTTAGCCTGGTTTGGATTAGGAACACTACCACAAACTGTTTTGGATCATTAGAAATGTTTTTTATGATATGCTAGTGCTTGTACTTATCCAACCACAAGATAATTGTCAAACTTTTTAAAATAATTGTTGTTTTATATGATAAATCAAATTGTTTTAAAATTGTTGATTTATAATTGTCTTTTTTATGAGTTTATTTAGATCATGAATTATGTGATAATTTAGTTGTTAGAAAAATGATCTAATTGATGTTTAAAGACCTCGATAACTTGTCCTCAAGTTATGGAAAATGAAATGTCTCATCATTAAATCAAATTAAACTCATAGGTTATGAATGTGAAGACTCTAACAAGTTTCAAAGTCTTGACCTCAAGTTTTGGAATTAGCAAAGTCTCATTAAATAAAAATTTAATTCCAATCCCTAGAATTTTAAAAGTTAAATTTCAACCCTTATACTTTATAGTATTATAAATTTAATAATATATATATATATATATATATATATATATATATATATATATATAAGCCAGTCCGTCTTACCATTAGTAGGCCTCATTCACAAAGTCGGTCGATAAGGGGGGGTATAAGGTTACTGCATATAAAATGGTGGTTTAATGGGTGTCCACTCTCATCCACCGCTTCATTGACTGGTGGAGGGTCGTTAGCTGAACAGGTAGGATATGACACTAATTCTCCATCATTAAAATTATAATGATAAATATATAGTAACTAAACTTTTATTAAATTCCCAATCTTAGTTACTTTAGGAAAAATGTGAAAATGGTGCTAATCCATGAAATTGCACTTTGCACTTTGTTAAGTATTAATGGAGCGTGTGTAGTTAACCGACACACTAATCTGGGACTGACAATGTATGGCAAAGGGTAACTTGATGTTAATCATAGATCAATGGAGCCAATGTGGTTAACCGGCACATTGTGTCACACCCCAAAACCAAGAACGGCGGAAACGTTCTGGGGCGGAGGACGTCCTGTACAGTATCACAACACAGTATAATAGTAAGCAAGTAAACAACATCATCCATTACATTAAATAGATAATTTTAATACAAGTGTGTTCTGTAGTATATAAGACACCAAAACATAAATCAAAATATAGGATGAGTCTTGAATGCGCTCCATCTTCCCAAAAGTTGTCATCGCTACCTGTCTACTGGTGACCTGAGAATACAAGTTATTTTGAAAGCGTAGATCGGCATTAAAGCTGGTGAGTTCATAAGTATTTAATGTCTATGTTTGTATCAAAATGTTTGAACCGTTGTTTGAAGTACAAGTTTGTAGTAAAAGTATGTGAATGTTTGTAAGTGTTTGTAAAAGTTTGTAACCCCTAGAAAATCCTATATTTTCTACTAAAAGTAGCCTTCTACCAAGGCACAACTGGATCTTGCCCCTTGGGTTAGGCTCCACAGCTCCTGGTCCTACTTCTGGATCTCGCCCGTCGGGAAGTACTCCTCAATCATGAGGTCTTTCATAGTTTCCCAGCCCATGTCGTTTGCCACTACAAGAGTGAGTGACTTGACATGGCTGTTCCACCATGTCAGGGCTTTCTCCTCAAAGGTGCAAGCGGCAAACTTGACCTTACTCATGACCGGGCAGGAACAAATCTCGAAGACCGACTTCGTCTTCTCGAACCATTGCGAGAGGGCAATGACTCCGCCAGTCCCCTTGAAGGACTTTGGCTTGCAGTTAGTGAAGTCCTTGTAGGACCACTGTCTCGAGCGCACAAGGAATTCACCTTGAGTAGAGTTAATAGGGGTTCCACCTCTGTTGGCATCAGTGGAGTGATATTGTTCCATGGCCGTAGCCACAGCCGCAGCCACTGTAGCATTCAGAGCTGCCACACCGAATTATGGAGGAGGTGGTATTGGAGTTGGAGTACTCGAAGGATTGCGCCTTGTTGATTTGCGAGGAGGCATCGTTCAACTATAAGTTTAAAGGAAATATGTACATGGTGGTTAAAATCAATTGTAAGCATGGTGAGAGTGTTCCATGGGCTAAATCGCCATAGTCCAACAGTTGAATGAGTGTATGTTTTGAAATAACAGTAGAGTGGAAGAGTAGGAAAAACACAAGAGTACAGATTTTTCCAACAGATTAGATAACTGCCAATATTATTGTTATTACTGATGTAAACGAGTTCGGGAAAAACGACCTAACAGTAGGTCTTACATCAAACCATATGAGGGAAAATGTTTGACAACTTAGAAGGCTAGATACTGTAGTGAAAGATAGGAATATTTTACAGACAAGTGCTTCATAGAGCATAGATATGAAAGGCTATTCCTTAATCAAAAGAAAAGATGTGCTAGACATCTTTTAATGGCGATGGGAATTCCTCGAGCGAACCCTAAGGTCTTCCATCTGATGAACCACTTCTTGGAGGTGTCGTTCATGAGCCCTCTAGCGAACTAGGAGTTCTATGACTTCAACGCGGGAGGCATCTACCTGTTGCTACAGAGTCTCATTAGTCCTTCTGGTCCTTTCCATTGTCTCTTCGAGATGGCGAATGCGGACCGTGTTGACACCAGTGTTGGCATCAATCTCCACTACTCGGTCGATGGTTGCCCGACCTTGCTCTACATTCCGAGCAATCCAACGAACCAAGATGGGTAGGGCTCGATCAGCCAAGCCACCCTCGCTTATGTTGTAGAAGCTTCGGTCCCCGTTGTAGGGTAAGGGTTAACCTTTTTCGTTACTCCAGCGATTCAAGTTTGTTGCCCACAAGGGTGTGGGACCCTGAAACGTTGGTCGGGGGTTATTAATTGGGGCTTAACCTACTTGGGGTAGGTTGTTGAGTTCTGGCTTGAAGTCAGATCCATCCGAGAAGCCTTCTGTGTGATGATCATCCAAAGGGATTTGATGCTCATCATTGGACTCTGCTTCAAGCCATCCAACATTGTCATGGGGTGAAAAGTACGCACTACTAGAAAAAAGGCCTTTTACGACGCGCAAAATACGACGCTCATTGATCTATGTTACGCAAAGGAGAGTGACATTAGAAAAATGTCATCTCTTCAAAAAAATTTAAGGATAGAAGACACGCATTATTGCGCGCCCTTAAATTAGTGTCTAAAAAAAACACGGAGGGCACCTATAATAAAATGCGCGTCGTCTAAGGATGTCACTTTATAATTTTTAATGGAATGCGCGTTCCATCCTTTAACAGTAGGGGGAAATGAAATTCTGAAAAAATTAAAAATCCCGCCTTCCTTTTTTTTTCTCCTTTCCCTCTTGCCCAAATTATGGACGCTCCTTCCGTCCCCCTCCCGACATTGCTGCCTACTTCTTCCCTCACTTCTACCTACTGGAACCACCATATCTCCCACTCGATGTTGAAATTGTTAGAAAAAGCCCTAATTATACACTCCACTAGATTGGGCTCTCATTAATTGGAAATCCGCGCTGAATTTCTTTCTACCCATGGACATGATTTTCAATAATGCGATAACAAAAACGATTACGAGCCATGAGAGAGCGTACACTAAGATTGATTTATCGTTTTGGACGACTTTGAGGTGGTAAACGATACTGTATTGGTAAATGAAGAATCGGAGAGAAAGGAGGATTTTCGTCAGACGACCGACTGTACCGGTGGATCGGAGGTGGTCCTGCTCTTCCTCCCACCACGATTCCCAGCTTTTGTTCGCCGGAACACCGATTCCACCGTGGTTTCTGATCCACGCTGACCAGTCGTCCCAGTCTTCAACGATTTTCTGCCCTTCTTCAATCTTGAGTACACGGTGTGTGCTTATTTTTTCTGCTCAAATCCCAACTTCCACTTCAGATTTACAGTATTTTTCTATATTTTTTTCTTCATAAACATGCTGATTTATCCCATTCTATACCTAAACTTTGATGTTATGAATAGGGTATCAATAGGGCTAGGGTGGAGCAAATGGAAGACCGGTTGAAGGAAAGTTATGAATAGGGTATCAATAGGGCTAGGGTGGAGCAAATGGAAGACCGGTTAAAGGAAGACATATTGCTAGAAGCTGCAAGGTATTCTTTTTAACATGTTTCTGTGTTTGATATCCATTTTCTTATCATCTCAATACCTATCTCGATTACAGATATGGAAATAAGATCCTAGTAACTGATGAACTACCAGATGGTCAAATAGTGGATCAATGGGAGCCAGTCACACCGACTCTGTCAAAACATCACTACAGGTTCACCATACTATGAAATTAAATGTTCATTTTGAATATCTGTTTCATAATTCCTTTCACTATTGTAGGTCTATTTAGAAATCCAAACAAGAAAATTCCTTGTTGACTACGAACGCATTCCAGCAACAGATGAAAAATCACCCAAGGAACATGATTTTGATACGTTAGTGAGTGTTATTTTCATTTAACAAAATGAAAATATTTAACTTAGATTATACTTTATATATGATTTGTGTTTTATGATCTTTATAGGTTGATAGAATTTCAAGAGCTGATCTTAAGACAGAAATAATCTTTAACTGCCAAATGGGGCATGGGCGTATTACCACGGGATGGTCATTGCCACATTGATCTATTTAAATCGAATAGGAGCTTCTGGTACTTTTTTTTTGTCTCTGTGAAGTTTATGTTTTATGATTGCATGCTTTTACAGTATGCAAATGAACCTTTTTCCTTATAAATTTCCCATTACAACAACATTCTTGAGGCCTGGGTAGACCCGTCTTTTGGCACAACATGAGAGAAGAACCTGTTATTTACATTAATGGAAAGCCCTTTCTGCTTCGTGAGGTTGAAAGACCCTACAAAAACATGCTCGAGTATACGGTATATACTAATAATCCTCTCTCATTTTTAATGTTTATTATTTAAATATACTCAAGTGTCAAGTGGTTTAATGTAGGGAATTTACTGTGAAAGAGTGGAGAGAATGGAAGCTCGACTGAAAGAAGATATTCTCAAAGAACCTGAACGTTATGGATGTAAGGTATCTACCTGATACCTTGCTGCAACCTTGTTGCCTAAGAACAGAAAACAAAACAGAGCAGGAAGAAAAAAAGGAAAAAAAAAAAAAAAAACTACATGGCTGGCAACAGGTGATAACAGGGGAAGAAAAAGATGGGATTTTTTATTTTGCTTGGTGGAAAAGAAAACTTTTATTGCTGAAAAACTTCTTTCTAAATACCTATAACGTAGCATATTTATACTAAAAGAAAAAGAGTTTGACTCATAGTCTAAAACCGGGAAACAAAAATAATAAAAGCATTTTCCTAAAATGCCCCTGTGGGCTTTTTCCTGAATTACGCCAACAATGGAGGTGATATTATGGCAATTCACGAACTACAATCATATTTTATTACAAAAACTTAATTAAATTGGAACTTTCCCAACATACCCCTGAGGCTATTTTTGTCCCCAATTCTCAGGGGACGGAATAATGATGGATGGTCAAGCTAAAATTTGGTTTTGAATTTAATTTGGTATAAAAATGACAGGTTTGATAATGGTAGATGGTCAAGATACAAGAACTTTTCAAGTCCATTTGGAATATTACACTACAGATAATATTCTCTCTTTATTTCAGAACTTCTTACTTCTTCGTCTTATTAACTTTTTCATCTTATAATATGTTTGGATGCTGCTACATTTTAATACTGTCTGGAGTATATTATATTTGTTATTTGTGATAATAGCAGCTGGTTTTGTTTGTGATGGGATTAGTGTAAATTTTTGTCTGTTTTGTTGTTTTCTGGATGATAGCTAGGTACCTAAAGCATTGTTTAAAGGTGGATCAGTAGTCTACATGTCATTGCATGTCATTGCATTCTCACTGTTACCTATCAAAGTACTGAGGTAAATATTATGATTTTTTATATTAATTTTCTTACTTTCTAAAATTATTAGTGTTTTTTTTTCTGAGTTATGATTGAAAAACAGTGAACTAGGGTAAATTTTATGAATTATGATATTAGTTTCTGAAAATATATAATTAGGGCATCATTATGTCTTATTGCCCCGGGCAACATATTTCTTTGGACCGGCCCTGGGTCCTTGCATTGCAATTGCCTATTTATCGGTTCTAAAGGACTGTGAGATTCATTGCTTTCATGAAGGATTGGAAGTCAAACGACTTGGTGGTCTCCATGTCATTGGGACATCTTTGCATGAGTCCCGAAGAATTGATAATCAGGTAACTTTGCATCAGTATTGTGTTTTAAGGTTTTACATAAATTTAGCATATACTTTCAGACTCACTTTTTTAATTTATTTCTTGCTTTACAAAGCTTCGTGGCAGAGCAGGAAGGCAAGGAGATCCTGGATCAACACGCTTCATGGTCAGGTAAGTTCATTTAAATGATTTTTATAAAGTTTAAAGTCAATCCTTTCATCTGGACAAAATTCTTCATGTTAAATTACGTAATAGTCCTTGGAGTAGTTGACATGAAAAAATAATTTTGTTAGAATGATTCCATATATATGTGCAAGCAAGCACATGCCTTGTGAAAAAGGGAAATCTATTCTAGTCATTCTCTTTAACAAGGCAACCTTAAAGTTGATTTTTTAAACCTGATGTTTAAAACTACATTGAGTGTGAGATAGAAGTTTATGCAGAGAAGGAAAAAGATAGAAGTTTTTGAGGATGTTGCTGATGAAAAAGATAGAGGTTCTTTAGGATGCTGCTAATGAAGTTTATGCAGAGAAGGAAAAAGATAGAAGTTTGTTGGCACATAGTAAGCTAGATAATTAATGCAATTGTATATAAATGAGTTCATTTTTTTATAACATTTACTCACTATTGGAATAATTATTTGTATTTGACATATTAGTGAAATGAATTATATTTGTTATTTATGGTATTTTATTTATTATTATGAGATTTCTAATGTATTATTTAACATGAAAAATTAGTAAATCTATAAATAATATTTTTTTTAAAACATTTAAAATTATGATACGCAAAAATGTGTGTCATCTTTATTTATGACATGGCCTTTCTTGACAAGGGCTTCCTTGATACGCATTGCGTGTCATAAACACGCGTGTCGTAAGGTTACGACACGCAAATGCGTGTCGTCTTCCTTTATGACAGGGCCTTCCTTGATACGCATTGCGTGTCATAACCGCGCGTCGTAAATGTGCGTCATAAATGCGCGTCGTAAATGCGCATCGTCTATAGACGACACGCAAAAGCGCGTCATCTCTCTTTATGACAGGGCCTTCCTTGACACGCATTTGCGCGTCGTCTGAGCGTTTTACGACGCGCAATGAGCGTCGTAAAAGGCCTTTTTTCTAGTAGTGACGGGTCGTCATGATGATGGAATTCAAACATGATATCTATGCGAGAAAAAGGGGTATAAGAATCTTCTATAAATAGACATACTACCTATGATAATTATAATATGATCTTTATCAGTTATGCCAATACTTGTGTTGTGTATACCAGTTATATGAAGTAGGATAGACCTTCGAATAGGTGGTTCTAACTCCAAATCCACAACCAAACAAGGACAGGAAGTAAAGCAAAGATCACATATTCTAAGTGTATAACACCTAAATTTAATATAACCTTAGCATATGCACTTAACGACTATTGACCTACTTGATAGAGACATTTTTATGTTCCCAGATAAGTGATTATAGTAACACAAAATACTCCTATAGTATTTTTAAACTTATGTTCTGTTCTAGTGCTTTCATTATGGTAGTGTTGGTAAGTTTTTAGACTTGTCATATCACAACCATTCTAGGGCATGTGCTACTCACTTCTCGGACCAACATAGTTGATCAGGCTATGCCACTCCCAGAACTGACCATACATCCCCGATCTTACTTGTGATATTCAACAATCGTAATACTTTTGTATTTGTCGTTGTGACACTGATTTTAGTATAAATGCAGTCTTGTATACTTACTTAAATATTTTATTATGAAAAAGTATATACTCTTGGTCAGAGTGTTTTAATCCCAATGTGTTTATAGTTAGTATATCTTTTATGGGTTGATATACTTAATTCACTATAAACAATGCTCTGATACCAATCAATCACACCCTAAAACCAAGAACGGCGGAAACATTCTGGGGCGGAGGACGTCATGTACAGTATCACAACACAGTATAATAGTAAACAAGTAAACATCATCCATTGCATTAAATAGATAATTTTAATACAACTGTGTTCTGTAGTATATAAGATACCAAAACATAAATCAAAATATAAGATGAGTCTTGAATGCGCTCCATCTTCCCAAAAGCTGTCATTAGTACCTATCTACTGATGACCTGAGAATACAAGTTATTTTGAAAGTGTAGATCAGCATTAAAGCTGGTGAGTTCATAAGTATTTAGTGTCTATGTTTGTATCAAAATGTTTGAACTGTTGTTTGAAGTACAAGTTTGTAAACGTTTGTAGTAAAAGTATGTGAATATTTGTAACTGTTTGAGAAAGTTTGTAACCCCTAGAAAATCCTATATTTTCTACTAAAAGTAGCCTTCTACCAAGGCACAACTATTTTGTATGTTTGTTTCTTGTAAAAGTGTGTAATCTTCCCAAGTATAACTATCATTATCAAAATATAGTTTGTACATTAATGTTTAAGTGAAGTAATCACCAAATAAATGTAAAGGGTAAATTAATGTAGTATCGTAGTGTTGTATTTTAGGAACTACTGCTGTACTATCTACCTTAAACCGGATTTATATCAAGGTATTATGTGATTAATTGTACCATACTATCGACTGAAAAACATGACGATGTAAGTCGTCAAAACGTATGACATTTGGCACCCGAAGACCTGCAGGTCCCGCTGTAGCTAGCAGCAAGGTGTAGGATAGTCAATCTAGTATAGATCTATACGCCAACTCACGCTCTCCCTCCAGGAGATTCTGGTTACAACTCGGGCCATGAAAATGAAGGCATGCTCTGATACAATGGATCACATTTATATTATTGTATACTTGTATGATCTCATCATAGTATCGTTGTATATGTTCTCATCCTAGTATAGTTGTATATGTTCTCATAGTAATAAGTAATGACTCATAAATGAATTGACTCTTGTATGCTTCATTGAACTAGAAGTAGTAAGTAGTATAACTCTAAACTATACCTATTATAGTTTATTAGTAAACTTGTTTGTATGACTGAATGTACTGAACTGAGATAAAAGTCTTGATATCTATAAATATATACATAATATGTAACTAAGGATTCAACGACACTCAGACAAACAACTGGGTAATTTAAGACCACAACCGAACAAGGACAGGAAGTAAAGTGGGTTATCTCTCCTAAGTCCTTCAAACCTTATTTATATAACTATATATGTAGTAGATATGGTTTTAACGATATATAAGTTTGAAAACTGTAAAAAAAAAAGGTTTAGTATACAATAGTGAATTTGATAAAGAGTTTAACATGTACAATAGTTTGAAGTCATTTGATTGGTAAAACAGTTTAAAGTATGATAAATCCGTTCATATGCTAGTTATTAATCACATGTGACTGATCTAATAACTAGCATGGTTCAACTTGTATTCCTCCCCATAAATCATTTAAAAACATTTCAAAGCATTTCAAAGGTTGATTAAGGGGTATGAACTCACTTGATTGAATTGGTTGTTTTGAAGTAGTCGAGAGAAGAATCGAGTAGAACTTCGACTAGAGAGAGTTGAAATCTCAGGATTTTCGGGGATCTTGGGAGTGTAGGACTTCCTTCGGGACTCGAGTATGAAAAATCGAGGCTTTGGGAAGGCTTATCGAGGTAATCACGCAGAGTGATGGCACTTAGCCCGAAAAAGATGAGCACCAAACCCGACACCCTTAAACTTCTATTTATAGGGGCTGATTTGGGGTCTCACGTCGTGAGTTTTGGATTGCTCACGTCTTGAGGCATAGTCAGCATGATCCTCTTTGACGAGTTAACATTTCTGACACTCTGGAACCCATCAATCACGAGATTATGTCGTAAGCATGGTTCCCTCATGTCGTGAGGCTGAGTCAGCCTCGGGTTTTGTGTCCCGAACTTGTAAAATTCGTAACTTTTGCGTACAAGCTCCGATTTCAACGTTCTTTATATGCACGTGTGGGTGTGAAAAGGCTCTACAACTCTCGTTTAGACTCCGTTGGAAAATTTTGACTTTATTTTTATTATATTATTTTTAACAGGCTGGGCCTGGAAAAGTCCGTTTAAATCCGATAACTCCTTAATCTGATGTATATTTTCGTCAGACTTTTTACAGCTGTACTCCTATTGTCGGGGTCTTCAACTTTCATTTAGGTTGTGTCAGCTAAAGACCGCTCATTTTCTATTTCGAGTTTTTAGCTGTCTACTGTTAGGTCAGATGTAACGACCCAATTTTCATGTCCAAAAATTTCATTTTAAAATATTACTTTTAGAAAACATTAATAAATAAAAGCATTGTTTGATCACGCCATAACACATCGCAAACCATGTTTTAATATTCAAACCATACAATCCATCAAATATCAGAGTACAATCCCAGTGAATCTCGTAAATGCGGAAACCGAAGAGTGTGTGTGTGACATGCTGCTACCGTGCCGGCTCCTTTCCCCTAGCTGAGGAGGTACCTGAAACCAAAACTGAAACCGTAAGCACAAAGCTTAGTGAGCTCCCCCAACGTACCACATACCATGCAAACACATAACATAAATACTGCCAGGCTATTCTGGGGTGCCTGACTACCCGGTACGGCCATTCTGGGGTGCCGACCTACCCATACGGCCATTCTGGGGTGCCGTCCTACCCGTGTCAAGCCATTCTGGGGTGCTGACTACCCATGTCAAGCCATTCTGGGGTGCTGACTACCCATCGGTCCTAACAACCGATCCTCGGGGACTGGTCCCCTCCCGCTACCTCTATCGCATAACATAACAGGCCAACATACAAGCATACCATCACATACGGTCAGATGTTTCTGGGGTGTCTGACTACCCTGCGGTCCTAACAACCGAACTCCACTACTATTGCATATAACGTATCATGAGAGCATATAACATAACAGGTAATAGCAAACCTAGATGATATCACAAAGACAATCATCTATCATACGTCCCCTACTGGTGGGCCGGCATTGTGGCCTTAGGCCCACCACTACTGGAAGGTAACTCACCTCAAAGTAGCTGCTGAACTGATCGGGAACTAACTGACTGCTGCTGCTCCGGGAGTCCTCCGGCTGCAATTCCCACAATATACTTAATCATACACTGCTAACTGTCCTTTGGGTAAAAAGACCATTTTACCCCTGGTCTAGCCCTAAGTCAAATCGAAGTCAACTTTCAGTTGACCCGACTCGCCGAGTGGATCTCCACTCGCCGAGTCCCTA